ACCTCCCTCCTTTGGACTTTGCTGCTTTAAAGTTACAGCGTCTGCTGTGCTCCAGGTGAGAATCAAGCAAAAGAGAAACCTTTGTGGAATATGTCGCTGTTGTGTCCTTGTCATCCCTCCACCTGAGCTCTGAGGTGTTTGTCCCCTGGGCTCCCTGATGAGATCTGTACTTCAGCTCCCCTCCGTTTGCAAATTCTGGACTGATCATCTAGTCTTAGCCGAAAGGCTGCTCCGCTTGTTAAGGTGAGGTCAGTTCCCCAACTCATTGTGTGGAGTGGAAGGAACCCTGGATTAGGTGCGGAGACCTCCACAAGTTATGGTCTGTCCCTGAATCCTGGCACAAGGACGCCTGCCCTGCCTACCTCACAGGGCTGTTGTGAGGATCAGTTGAGATTGTGTGTGTTCGTGCTTTTGGAAGCACTAAGGCAAGGGCTTATTATTTCTCAGTATGAGAGGGCTCAACCTGGATCTAATCTGTTCAGCAGCCAAGAAGAAAGAGAGCAATAGAAGCTAATGGGCTGGGTTTGCAGCATCTCTAAATGTGCTGTTTCAAACAAAAATGAATCATCCAAAAGTGAGAAAAAGTTGCACACAGGGAAGAATGTTTTTAAGAACCCTGTCTTAGATGTGCAGGCTTATGATCCCACAGAGGGTAACTTTCCATGGGGAGCATGAGGGAGTGGGAGAGGATTTTCCACCTATAACAGAACCAAAAGGCACTGTACGCCCTGCTGTAAGACCTGCTCCCTTCATCCCCTCTTCAGAGCCCCCATCCAGGAGGCAAAAGGAGGATGTGTGCTGGTATATGCTTAGGAGAATCGGGCAGATGAACCCCTCGCCATCTTTCTTGGACTTGCTTGGTCATTGTGTGCTGTTTTTCTCTGGTTCATTAATAAAATTGAAATCACCCTTCAAATGAGAGGTCTTGGAGTTGTGATTCAAAAACTACATTTCTTGGTATTCAACATAGTGTGAAGAGTAATGAAACTGAAAGAAAGAAGAAGAAGAAATGAGACACTGAGGAATCTCAAACCGTCAGAGAAGGTAGCTCAGAGAGAGCACACCAGGGGGAGGGTCTTCTCTAGGGTCTGGGGAGCTAGCTCACAGGCACAGGTCCCTCCACCCACCGTCGCTGAGTGAGGCCTCCTTGCCTTCCCACTGCTGGTGCTGACATCTTCCCTTCAGAGTGTTAAGCATCATGGCAATATATATCCTCACACACCATCTGGAAGGTGACACTTTGAGAATTGCTCCACCCCTACCTATCCCTCCCCTCCTGCTCCCCACTGTGTTTCCCTTACATCTGGCAGTCATGTGGAAATGCCATAAAACTCAGCCCTATGGTCATAATAATGGTCTCCCCATAATCTGCCCCAGAGGATAGTTTGTGGAAAGGTGTGATACAGTGTCTACTGAACCAATGTTGGCTCTTCAGCCTTACCTGGTTTCATGTCAACATCAGTGCAAACCACCAGCACCCAAAATTAGTTTATAGAGAGGATGTCCAGCCAAGAATGTGGAAACTAAGTCAGCCTCTACTCACCATTTTTTGACAGCCCCTCTCAGACCCAGTGATTGTGTATTGATGCCCTATACACATCTGGACTGGGGTGGTCACTGGCTGTTTGTGTAGGGCTAGTGGAAGCTTCAGGCAGCATTTTCCTTGCTCCCTTCATGCTTGTTCCAGTGTTTCAGTAATAAGTGGATTTTCACATACAGAATCCTGAATGCCTGTGCTCATCTTTTAAGTCCTGTTTTCTGATTTAGGAGGTGGTTCTAGAGGCAGGCTCTTTTTTTCAGAGGACTAGTGGGTTATTGGTAGCCTACATCGCTGTTCCTATCAGTGACCATAAAAAAATTAAATACATACATACTAAACAACTGTATTAGAATTTACAGGGAACCAAAACCCAAAACAAATAGGTGGCTGTCATCTGTCCCTGTGAAATACATTGGGGAAAGGGTAGGGGGACCCCATCACAGGTTGCACTTGCTCTCCAGATACAGCCCACAGCAATGGTAACAGAAGAGAGCTGAGCTGAGTTCTGGCAGCCCATGAGCTTAAGGAAACTAGTCCTTCCTATTCTGGGCAGGGAAGGAGCAACCTTCCACCAGCACTACATCTAAGTAAGTCCAACAGCAAAACATGCTGCACAGCCTTCAAATCCCCCCTTCCTCCCCCACGACCTGAGACAGCCAGGGGACTATCTATTACCAGGCCAGGTGATAGATTCTGAGCTTATTACCAATAGGAAGAGGAAGGTAGACTACAAATAACCCCCCAGTGCTCTGAAAACATGGAGCCAAAAGCAATCCCTATGTACAAGAGCTCTGGTAGCCTAGTGTTCAGGGAGTTGTACTATTAATCCAAAGTCTGCTCTTCTCTGGCAATTCAAATCCAGTGGCTGTAGGAGAGAGAGACAGACAGACAGTCTCCTATGTGATTTGCAGCCTCAGAAACCCAGTGGAGGGTCAGCTCTGAACAGTTTCTATTCAACAATGAGTTGAGTTGAATTGAGTTGAGTTGAGTTGATAGAGCATCAAAACTCGAGTAACTGTCTAGTTTCATGGAATTAAAAGGCTTCAGCTACCTGCCAATCTAGTGACCAAAGAAAGAATCTTATTACACAATAGTGTTGGTGTGGGGAGCACAAGTGACTTAGTGGGTAAGGAAATGGCACTGCTAATCCAAAGGCAGGCAATTCCATCAGTTGATGCAAGGGAGAAAAATGGGCAATGTCCCCGTGGGGGAGACTACATGGTATCTACTCTCAAACTGGAACCGACTCTTGACAGATCCTCCAGTGGAGAATATCCGTCTTTCTCCTGCAGAGCACCTGGTGGATTCGAAATGGGTACCTTTGCACTGGCGGCAAACTTGCTTACCACTTAGCCACCAGAACTCCCTCGTGTGGTGTAGAGCCTCTGGATACCCACCAGAGGACAATGAGAAAAAATAGGGCAGGTTTATCCTGAAGATTCCAGCCTAGAGTGGTCCTGAGAAACTGTATTGTTTGTGACGAGATGCCAGCAGAGTCTTGAAAAGCCAAAGCTTCATACATGTGCATTTGTGCTCAGAACGCTGTACAAAATATTCCGTAATAAGAGACCACAACAATCACGTCCTATTGTCTATGTTAGGTGTCACCTGATCACTAAGGTTACCATTTTGCCAGGGGGGGAAAATACAAGGAAGGAAACTAATTTTAAACAAAACAGCCAGATTTTTTTTTTAAATGTGCTCAAGTCCCGCATGACTCTCAGACGACGGCACTGGCAGAAGTTTGACAAACATCTGGCTCAGCAAATCAAGCACAGAGACATGATTCATTCTTCACGTGTGACAGGCGGTGGAGCAGCATGGATCACTTGTCTTCACTCTCTGAGGCACCACAGCACTTAGCCTAAAATTCCCACCCACCCCTGTGATGTGCCCTCCCTCACATCCCTGACCCCTGAAGAAACAGTCCCTGCCTGCTGCTGCCCGCCATGAATTACATGCTCCCTTCTGTGTTTTCATCTGTGAGTCTTGACACCCTCTGTCACTCCCAGTCTCTGCTCAGTGACAAATCAAAATGAAGAGACTTCTCCATCTGTGCACCCTTCTAACCACCCTTCCATCTGTATATTTTTCAGAAGCAAAAGAAGATTCACCGTCTGGCCCAATGAACTACTTGCATTCACTTATATTAAAAAAGTAAAGGAGCTCACATCAGACTTACATGCCCTTTGCCTCCGCTATCTTTGGTGTTTGATTTAATATGGTCCCAGATGTCACGACCGAACCATTGGAATTTTAGATAAGCCAACATTGGTTTGAATTAAGCAAGGTGTCTAACAATGGAATGGGGCATTGAAAATAGAATCATGAGGCAGATGGGCCTTGGAGGAGAGGGTCACTGAAGGCTGCTTAAATTTGTATGATTTCCCAAGTCCAGGCTGACCCCGTATGCGAGTCTCTGCCCACCCAACGGACGCCAGCCGCCTTCAAGTCAAGTCTGGCCCATGGCAGCCTTGTGTGGGTCAGAACAGAACAATGTTCCACAGAGTTTTCAATTACTTCTTTTTCAGAGGCATATCACAAGGCCTTTGTGAAGTGCCTCTGCGTACACATGAACCTCCAGCCCCTCATTTAGCAGCAAGGAAAATTGGTGTCCCACTAGTCCATGGAGTTTCCCTTCTCTGGTATTGTCACAGCTTAGGCAGTCCTTTCTCTTTTGTCTGATTCACCCAGAGATAAACCAAGGGGCTAATGAGTTTATTAGGTGCCACTGAGCCAACTACAACATACAGTGACCATATGAGCAATAGACAGCACAGCAAGATGACTATATAAATGACAGATCACAGGGCAAGAACAGCCTTATCCTGTGCCATCCTCGCAATCCCAAGCCCATTGTTACAATCATTGCCAATCCATCTTATTGAAGAGCTTCCTCTCTGTGACCTTTCACCTTTCCTGGCATGATTCTTTTTCCCAAGGACTGGTCCCTCCTGACAACATGCCCCAAAATGTGTGAAATGAAGTTTCACCATCCTTGCCTCTTGGTTGCTTTCTCCAAAAAGACAGGTTCATTTGTGCTTTTGGTAGTTCGTGGGCTATCCACTACTGTTCTCTAATATCACAATTTAAAGACATCAGTTCTTCAGTCTTCCTAATCTCTTGTCCAACATTCAGATGCATAGAAACCAACTGAAAATACCAAGGCTGGGATCAGGAACTCCTTAGTCTTTAAACTGAAATCCTTGCTCTTTAGTGCTTTGGAGAAGTCCTTGACAGCATATTTTCCCAATGCAGCACACTTTTG